GACCCCCTCCCCAGCGCCATCTTCAGTGTGGCCGTTGCGCATGCCCGCCATCTTGAGTGTGGCCCCACCCGAGGGAATGGCACCTCTGTGGCACAAGAGACACCACCATACCAGCCCCCTCCCTGCGCCACGTCGTCCGCCGTGACAGGAAACCGCACGCCGTCATGTCCGTAGAGGATGACCGGATTGTCCTGCGTGACGGCTGCCCCCTCACAGCAAAGACGGCCTCGACCACGGACACGTGGCCTGAGGGGACTTCAGAGCCACCAGCTGGGATTCCCCTCTTTTTCCTTCCTCCGCGCCGTCTTCCTCAACACAGGCTGTCCTGCCGCTGGGTTGAGGTGGCGGCGCCGTCGGAGGCGGTCGGCCGCCAGCTCTCGACGTCAGCGGCCATTTTCTTGAGGGATGCCTTCAACGAGTCCTTGTTGGCCACCGCAACGTCTTCGGTCATAACTAAACGGCGGGGGGAGAGCACTCCGGTGGAGCTGGTGCTCGAGGATCACCGACGTTGGTTGCACAAATGCCGGCATCCTCGCTGAACCCGTCTTCCCATTTGACGTGGAGGATTTTCCAGAGGCGCCATTGGCCGTACCTCCCCCCACATCGTTCCCTTCACGCTGGCACCCTACCAACCATTGACCTACTCCAACCTCATCGCCCTACAATAGCACAACCGTGTTACCCCTGAGCACTCCCAACCCCCGCATCGACCACTGCCCCTTGCATGTAATATTGTCCCCTGGGGTCTACGTTGGCAGAGCCCCGCTGCATTGGGTTCAACAAGTGTTGGAACTGGATCCCCCGGCACAGATTTAAAGTTACACGGTATTGACGGGGAACCCCCCCCCCAAACTCAGGCCTGCCTACTTTAATATACCATATTTCTTGTTTATCATCGTGGCACGACTGCGGCATGGTTCATTCAGTCTACAAGTCAAGTCTAGCATTAGTGTAGACTAGCACTGCCCGCTTCCCTCCTGTAGTCACTGGTTGCCTCTGAACCGTGTCCAAATGATACGGCTCTATTACAACCCCCAGCTACAAAACTCGTCATAACTATTAAAAATCTTCCTTCTAGCAATACATGGCCCTGGTTAATCCGCCAGCTCTCTCCTGAGCATCAGCTAAGATGCAGTCATTCACATTTCACTGCTGAAAACACAGAGAAGAAATACTATTATTTATTTATATCGGACTTGAAGATCTACAAGGTCCCTTCCGACCCTACTTCTATGAATAAGTGTATTAAATAAATGCTATTTTATCCAACATTACCTCGACATAGCTTCAGTTTGTTTCGCAGTCTAGAAGAGAACTAGATGTGCAACTAACCAACTTGCTCCACATCCCATTCCTGTCTTCCTGTAGCCACCTGCTCCCCGACTTGTCACATCTCCTACTAAAATGCTGAAGCTTTAAGCCAGATCTGGCTAGCAGTTCTGCCTAAGGGAGTAAAGGGTGCTTTGGAACTGGTTTAATTAAAACTAATGAGGGTCTGCTGGAAAAAATAGGGGTCTTACATTCTTCATAGTACTCCAGTAGCAAACCCACACTCAAGCCTAGCTGGCTGGGACTTGTCCCTATACTATCTCAAGGCACCACCTAACAGATTTAATTTTATTGTGTGTATGCTTTCATTTGCAAGTTATCAGCTCTTTAAGGGGAATAGCCACTTAGCAAAGCTGAATAGAGGAAGAGACATTTTCTCCTTGGTTTGTAACCGAGGGTTTAATTTCTCCCCGCACTAACACCGCAAAACAGCTGGGGCATTTTTCCTTATCTTCCAAAATACATTCCTATTCAGGCTGGGAGTGAATCAAGAAGGCTTCAGCTCCAAGGGAATTTTTATCCCACAAACTAAAAAATAGGCATTTATCATTGATTGACTTTTAATAACCTGAATATTAACCATGGAGTACTTATTATATATTTTGCCTGTTTCTATTAAAATACGCCATGTACAAAAAAATAGCTTAGTTTGTCAAGGAGATGGGGAAAATAAGGAATAGGAAACTAACATCTGGCAGTAGTTTAAGTATAAGAAAGTTCAATTAATTAGTACTTTGCAGGTGCAATTAGGCTTGATTAACTCCAGGGAACTGTAAGAAACATCATATATTACAAATCTGTGCGTGTGGTTAGTTTTCAGGAGGGAACTATGAATTCAAGTTACAAGATGCCACATTCACAGGTGATGTTATTTAGATCCAGTGAGGCAACCCAAACTAGACAAATCTTCATTGCAAAACCTGCCACCACACCACATCAGTTGACCAAGACTTCGTTAGACATGCAATGGAACCATTTCAATTGCAACCCAAGTTAACAGTTGTTCTTCCTATAAAAATCAGCCTCTGCATTGAAAATATTCAATAGTTTCTTCTTTAAACCTGCCTTATGGTACAAGCCAATGCTGTTTCACAGCAGGAAGTTTGACTCCGGTCCAACCATCCCTACGTTCCTTTCTTCGTAGTCATGTTCTTAGCACCGTGTTTGTTTTTTAAACAAGGGACAGAGCTTGTCTTGATGGGGCAGGAGTTGGAGCTGCTTCCACAACCAGTCAGAGCACAGGGAACTGCATCCAGCAACGTGCTTACCAAGATGAGACAGTTTCAATGCATTAAGAAGCCCTAAAGTCCAACTGGCTGGTGAACTGGGGATTATCTGTTTCATGGTTAGTTTTCAGGATGAAACTAGGATTTCAAATTATAAAGATGCCACATTCACATTCTGCAGTGAAGGCTCAGCAGGCACCTTATGACTCAAGGCCAAGTATTTCCGGTAGCTATACAATTATAAGATGAGATCACTCCAAATAGGACTGCTAAGGGAAATAGCCTTGGGGTCTATGAATGCTTCCACCCTACCTATAGCCAAAAACTGGAGGTGGAACAAAGTTGGCTGGTTATCAGCAAGAGGGTTGATGCACTAGAAACAGACTATGGGACAAAAAACAAGCCACATTTATTCTTTGGTCTCTTTATCCAATGAATGATGAGGGGAATCCTTTTTAAAAGGGACCTCAAAGTTTGAGTTAGTTTATAAAACAGGCTGGACACAGTATTTCATTTTAAATTAATTAATTAATGAGAGAGAGTTGGCACCTCAAAGTCAGGCCTTTCCTTTCAGAAGTGCCTCCATTTGCAAGCCAAACAAAACATTCTTAGATACTATCCTAAAAAAACCTCACTATTTTTTGGTCTGATATTTTGAAGTAGAGACAGGCAATAGAAAGTGAACTTTGCGCTTTTGTCCACAAATTGTCTATCAGATGTTACTGTCCTTCAAGCCCAGGCTTCAGAGCAACAAAGCAGAACAGGTTAGAAAATCTGACTACTTGATTTAGGTGGTTGAATGGTGATCTCTTTTGAAGAGCTTGCTCAGACTACTTTTAATACGCCTTGCAACAAACTTTACACCCAAGGGTATAATTGTCCCCACTTAACAGATAGGGAAACAGGGGCAGGATGAATTGGCAAAAAAGTCACAAAGCTAGTCAGCTGCAGTGCTGGGAATAAACAGCAGCTCTGACTCTTCTGCTTGTGCCCCATCCTACAGGCTACAATAGCCAAGAAGACTGAAATAAAACAAACCATAGATTTGGCTATTGTTGGATCCTAAAGCAGGCCTTTGCTGTTAAAAAGTCAGCTCTGTGCAGATATACAGAGCCCCACATTCAGAATATTCTGTGCCAGGACTTAAATATTCTGCTGCAGCCCACAGAAACATGCAGGCCTACAAGAAGCGTTATCTATTAGCTTCGATTCCTATACGGAGTCCATAAATCAAGAGCCTTAGAAGGTACAGGAAGCAAAGAAAAACAATACTGAAATAGGAAAATACAGACCTTCACTTGCCTGTTATAGGATAGCAGGGCTCATTAATAAAAGGAATTCTTTCCCCAACATCTCTTAGAAACTGCTCTTGGGGAAAACTGGGACTCATGCTTTCCATCATGGTCCCTTTGAGCAATAATAAATTTGAACTAAAGAGTCTAGAACAGCCAAGAATGACCACCTCCCCCTGCCTTTAATTAGCCAGCCATCTGTCAGGACTGTCTATACCTTTCCCCTAGGGATTCCTTATCACACATTAATGAAGATAAACAGGCTTCTTTAAACCCAGACTGCAGCTTCCACAGGACTCAGTAGATATTTGACTCCACTGTTCCCTATAAACAGCTTTTTTTCTGCAGCAACTCAAGGCCTTCAAGAGAAAGAGCTTTTTCTCCCATCCCCTCATCCCTTCCGGTAGCAACTTCCTAATTTCACCCATCCTTCCAAGCCAGCTTTGACTGCTAGAAAATAAGGCTGTTTTTACACTCCTCAAGCCTGCTTTTGCACCACCCTTAACATATGCTCCAGTACAGGCCAAGAGCAACCTTTCCCCTAAACAAATCCCTAATCGCAAGCTTCTTATCATCATCAAGCTTTGGGCTGCCAGCCTCCAGAACAGTTTACTATGTTTTCGATTAAGGCTAGCTCACCATCATTAGCCACTACAGAAGCCTTTTTCATACTCAGTATCCTTAGCATGTGAGCTATAGTCACAGTTTAAAAACTAGTTACCTACAATCTACTGCTGGGAAGCCCTAAATGGGAAACAGTGGTGGTTGACTTCTTTTAACTTAAGCAGGTCTTTTAAGACACTCACCTGGGGATGTAGCCCACCTCTCAGGACTCACTCCAGTTCTCATCTCAGCTAATTACGAGCAGGTTGAATGACTTTCACAATCAGAGTTACCAATCCATCTCAAGTGTCTCTGATAAAAAAATGTTTTAAAGGTCTTCTCTTCGGACATATAAATTTGCTCGGCAGTTAGTGCTGCACTCTTTTTGTAGCAAAGAGTGGTCTTTAGTCCCAGGATTGTTCAGTCAGCATTTACCATCAGCATTTAATTCAACACAGGCATTGAGAGAAAATTGTGAAGCAGCTTTAAAGGCAAAATCCCATAAAAGGAAGAAAAGGCATCTGTATTATGAGAATCTTGCTCTATAATCAGGATCACAATAGTGGGGCTGGTTGTCTAACCAGTGTCCTCATTCAGAAGAATTGTGGCAAATTGCAACCCTTTTCCCCAAAGAGATGTAGAATAAAAGCTCAATTAACTTGATTGCGAACAGAGGAAGGAGGATAACAAAAGAAGTTCTCGGAGTGCACCCGGATTGTCTAATTTTTTTTCTATTGATCAGACCTGTGACATCAATCCAAGAACAGTTTTGGTCTTGAAAGGACTGAATACAAGGGTGCAGCCATTATCCAAGTTATATAAGTTGTTGTGGGACAGAATTGAGAATTAGCCAGTCGTTGTGACCATTTGAAACAGCTCTGCTGAGGATTTTAGATCAGTGGTTGCTAACCTTTCTTGTACCAGGGCCCATTTGTAATCATCATCGATGGCTAGTCTCCACCCAGTGCTCCTCACCCGCTTGCCCCCCAGTGTGTGGGGCAGCGAGGGTCCCAAGCAGCCCCTGACAGGCTGCAACTTTACCAGCCTGCAAGGGAAAAGCCCCTGGTTCCCACATTTTTCTACTTTAAAGGAGAATCCATTTTTAAAGTTTGTTCATGACCCTTTCGTACATTTTTGCAACCCAGTTTTGGGTCATGACCCATGGCTTGAGAAACGCTGTTTTAGTTCCTGTAGTTGCTTCCAAATTGCTGTAGTCTCGTGAAGAAAATTCTCTATAGAGTTGAAACATCTTGAAAAACACTTTCTGGGACGACTGCATCAGCATTTATCCATTATAGAATGAAGCAAATCAACAGCATAATAAAAGGGAAGCCCTTTTGTGAAGAATATAACAAAAACAAATGTTTTGCACTTCTCCATACTGCTTTTTCAGCAAGTGTTAGGGGAAAAAGCACTGCTCATAGCTTACATGTTAATGAACACAGCTAATGATGATGGTGCTTGTGAAGACTTCTTGGCTTCAATACCATTCTTGGAGAGAAAGGTGGTGTTTTCTTTCAGTGGACACATGGCAGGTCATTGGACGGAGGGCATTGATAACTTAAATGTCTATAGCACCTTTCCTGACAAAAGATCCACAATCTCTTTGCAAGGACTGTACTTTGTATGCTGTGTATTTGGTGGCATAATACTGAGTGATATAATAAATATTTTCAACTGTTTTTAGCATACACTGAATGTGAGGATATCTGTGGGCTTTACAAATATTAATTAAAGTCTCAAGAGTGCCTGTGATTTCAGTAAACATCCTCCTCATTTTACAGACTGAAACACGGGGAGCTTTAACCACTTGCCCAAGATTACACAACTGTTACTCAGCAGCGGAGCCAGTTATAGTAATAAAACTCAGAGCACCTGACTCCCTATCTCATGATCTAACCACTGGATGATGCTCCTTCTCAGGACTGCGCCTGCCAGAGGACTTGGACTGTCAGATGATAATTACCCAGACTGGAACCTGTCCAAGACACCAGGAATAACAACCTTTTTGACTGCTAAATTGCCACAGAGTTTTTAATGATTGCAAGTCACCAGGACCACAGGTGATCAATCAGTCTTAGGTCTCAGTAGACCTCCATTGAGTACAGCACCCCTTTACACCATGTTCTGGCATGGGTTTCAGCACTGACGTAAAGAGAAACCAGCTACATCCTGAGTCATCCGCAGTATATTTTGCAGCACCCTGGGCTTTCCTTGAAGGTCTTCTGTTTGCATACCGAGCAGCTGATTCTGCAGTATGTGATGAAGTCAGATCCCAGATAGGATGGTAGAAGGTGGGAATTACTAAAATCACAAGGAGAAAAGCTCCCTCCTAGCTTCAAAAAGGAGACAAGGAATATCTGGAATGGAAATAAAAAGGGGTGGAACTGTACAGTCCTTGACAATGTACTCCTAGCCTGGAATAAGAAGCCCTAACCGGCTGTTCTCTAAATAATCTTTCCTCAAAGGACACTTATTACAAAGCAAAAATTGCACTGCAGGCTTACACCACAGAACGTGTTGTTATGCTCAGGGTAGAGAGCAAGGCTTACAAAGATTGGTTCATCTGTCTCTGCCTGGCTTGCAACAGTCCTCTTCCTCTTGCCAAGCAGAAAATAAGTAATTCTGTCGTAGCTCTTCAGGTTATAACTGGCTAGATATGCCATCCATTAGCATAGCTTTTCTCAGAGCCTGGTAAGGGATAAACATTTGCAGGCGATAAGGACACCACGTTTGGGCTGAATCCAAACACTTTTGGGTCAGTGAAAAGACTTTAATTGACTTCAGTGGAAGCTATATTGGGTCCTTAACTGCAGGAGAGAAATGGAAAAGTCTCTCCATTTTCAGTATATCTATCGGTATCATTTGGCTACTGACTCCAGGCTCCAGGTTTGTCATCTCGAACAGCGATGCTGAAGAGTCAGGGGAAGTACTAAGGAGGACTGTAGTATTTTTGGCAATGCAGGGTATTTGGATGTTTGCTAATCCGAGAAAGCACATAAGCAATGTAGGAGAACAATACTTACTATTTATTCTCACCCTTACTAGCAAAACTAAGGCTGATTGCTTTCAGGTAGTGGGCCTCAGCAGCATAGTAGAGAACACAGCAGTTTTATAATGACCCCAGAAAAGTTGCATCCCCAGGGGAGATGCTGAATGAGAATTCAATATAAAGGGCCTGATCCCTGTCCCCAAATATTTCCACTACCTTGCTTTTCCTGGCCCATCCTCCAAACTCTCTCTCTGCCTTTTGGCAGCATCCGTACCACCCATTTGAGTTGCCTGCTTCTAAGCAGACGACACGAGAAGCCCCTTCAAGCTGCGTTCTGGATCTCGGAGTGATTTGACAAGGGGTTACTCCTATCTTACGTGATGAGAGACTGGATGCTTCAAACCTCTTTGGCATGCATGTAAGGCTCTTAGCACTGACAGAGCTTATTATATCTTGAGTTGCAACCCCTTCCCACACATCATCCTTGTACTTTGTGCAGGTCAAGAGGCTAAATGATTGATCCCAGGAAATGTAGGGGTGACCATAAAAGCCATCGACTCCCCTGGGCTTTGGATGAGGTCTGCCGTGCGTCACTGCCTGAGCTGGTATGAGCATTCAGGTATTCCTAGATTCCAGTCCCTTGTCACGCAGACAAGATGGACAACACACCTTTGCATCAGTGAGTCATTTCCTCTACTTCATCTCCAGCACTAGCTCTGAAACAGCTTGATGCCACAATGAACCAACCTGCCTCCTACTGTTTTGCCTTGGACCAACCTGCCCCGCTACTGGTTTGACTTGGACCAACCTGCCTCCTACTGGTTTGACCTGGACCAACCTGCCTGCTACCAGTTTGACCTGGACCAACCTGCCCCTCTACTGGTTTGACTTGGACTAACCTGCCCCTACTGGTTTGCATTGGAACAACCTGCCTCCTACTGGTTTGACTTGGACCAACTTGCCCCTACTGGTTTGACTTGGACCAGCCTGCTCCTACCAGTTTGACCTGGACCAACCTGCCTGCTGCTGGTTTGACCTTATTCATAGATTCATAGATGTTAGGGTCGGAAGGGACCTCAATAGATCATCGAGTCCGACCCCCTGCATAGGCAGGAAA